GCCGCCCCCCTCCAAACTTTTGTTCTGGGGAGGGGGGGGGGGGTTAGAAGCTCTGATGGCTCCATGTCCCCGATGGGGCATTTCCACACAAGGAGGTAGTACAGGAGGCAATAACAACCCAACAAGGTCCTACCCCCGTCTCCGATCCAACCAACCGTGTTCTGAGGCTTTGCTTGTAGACGGCGAGGAGGTTCATGTCCTTTGCTGGGCAGATAATCTGATGTACATAGCTTCCTGAAAACATCACAGCACCCGGCCTCAGTACTCCTCTCAGGAGCCCTCGGCCCTGATACAAGCAGTGGGCGGGCTCTTGGGAGGAGTTATGCAAATGTCAAAATGACTTGATGGTTGGGTGTCAGTCTGGAGGCGTGGGCGTTCCTAGGCAGGATATATTTGCATACAGACCACCCCTAGGTAACGCCCACATGTGATGCTGAGCCTCCACGATTGACAGAGCTGAAATCCAATGAATGAAAGGGGCGGGGCCAGAGAAATTCAGTGACTGAAGGGGAGGACGGAGGTCAGATAGAAGACTAAAGGGAAGAACGGAGGTCAGATAGAAGACTGAAGGGGAGGACGGAGGTCAGATGAGGTCAGATAGAAGACTGAAGGGGAGGCTGGAGGTCAGATCGAAAACTGAAGGGGAGGACGGAGGTCAGAAGACTGAAAGTGAGGCTGGAGGTCAGATGGAAGACTGAAGGGGAGGACGGAGGTCAGATAGAAGACTGAAGGGGAGGCTGGAGGTCAGATTTAATTGGGAAGAGTTCCTGTGGAGTCCGGAGGCACTGGTACCCTCTAGATTGTGTTGTATGAAGTTTTGGAACACTCTGGGCTCCGGCCTCCTGTGGCGCGGCGTGTGGTGATCGGTGTCTCATACAATGTTCTCTAATAACCTTTCTGTTGGATTTTGCTGCATTTCCTGGGACTGTCCTCCACCGGCAGAGTATTGAGGTTTGTCCTGCATGTGACTTCTCTGTTACATTGTATTCTGTCCCTCCTCCCCCCCATACCCCTCATACTGCCCCCCCCCCCAGAACAGAAGCACTTAGGGGGGCTCCCTTGTAGCCTCGTCCTCCCAGGTGGTGGAGGCCGTGGTGGTAGTGATGTTTGTGAAATAACAGACGTCTTCTTCTCCTTTGCAGCGTCCTCCATCACCAGACCCATCACCGTGACGGTGGAGGAGCAGAGGGTGCAGAGCGTGCGCCAGGGATCGGATGTCACCTTCATATGTACGGCAAAGAGCGTGGTGAGTGACCCGAGGGGCGGAGACTCGAGAGGTCCTCTTCTGGGATTTATGGGTCCGGGTTCTTGTTGGTTCCACTGATTCTGGTGTCATGTGTCCTCCACTCTTGTCCTCTCCAGTCTCCAGCCTACACCCTGGTGTGGACCCGGCAGAACAACGGGAAGCTTCCAGAGAGAGCGATGGACTTCAATGGCATCCTAACCATCCGCAATGTGCAGCCGGAGGACGCCGGGATCTACTTCTGCACCGGCTCCAACATGTTCGACATGGATGAGGGCAACGCCACGCTCTATGTTCAAGGTTGGTGAAAGAGTCACCGTTAGACCACTCCATCCTCCACCTCACTTGCATGATGCTGTCCTCCACTCTCCTCTCTGCCTCCGCACCCCGTACCTCATTCTCTCGGCATGCTCGGCTCTCATTGGCCTCCCTTGGCTTCTAGGCTTTGGGCCCCATTCTATGTGGACTTTCCTCCCGGTGCCTCCTCCATGGCCTCCTCCATGACTTCTGTCTCTTCACCCTTCAACTCATCCAATCAGGACTCTCGCTGCCTGGGCCCGCACAACCTGTCACATCACATGACCGCAGATGGCAAATTAAAAGCGCTCCTCTTCCCACCGCTAGCAGATCCCGCCTTTCCGTCACATTCTTCCCTCTCATTCGCTGAGCTTCTGCCTCCTCCTTCCAATGATCCTCCTCCCCCGAGCTGTGACCACAAATCTGCTTTTCTTTATACTTCTCTTTGTGCTTTCCAATAAATGAGAACGGAACGCCAACTGTCCGTGTGTCCAATGCCAGAAAGCGGGGGATGGGGGAGGTCGGAATTCGGTAAACACTCACCCCTAGGGACTCTGAGGTTTCTTCATGAAGTGTGTTAGACTTTGGCCTGAGCATTGGTCCAGCAACCGGTGAATGGGGGTGAGGGGCTGTTCCATGACTCTAAGATCGCAGCAACATTCAGACAATACACGGGATGCCAACAGTCCCATGTCCTCCGATGTGCGTAACATATTTCATGTCCGGCCTCATAGCTCCCTGTTCTCGTGTGAGAATCTGCCAAAGGCACCTTGTCCTCCCGTCTCCCCCCTGCAGGACTTATTACAAGTGAGCTGCTTAGGTGTCATGCCATGTCCACTGTCTAGGGGTCATGTCCACCTCACAGGGATCATGGGATGTCCATTGCCTAGGGGTCATGCTATGTCCACCTCACAGGGATCATGACATGTCCATTGCCTAGGGGTCATGCTATGTCCACCTCACAGGGATCATGACATGTCCATTGCCTAGGGGTCATGCTATGTCCACCTCACAGGGATCATGACATGTCCATTGCCTAGGGGTCATGCTATGTCCACCTCACAGGGATCATGACGTGTCCACTGTCTAGGGGTCATGCTATGTCCACCTCACAGGGGTCATGCTATGTCCACCTCACAGGGATCATGACGTGTCCACTGTCTAGGGGTCATGCTATGTCCACCTCACAGGGGTCATGCTATGTCCACCTCACAGGGATCATGACGTGTCCACTGTCTAGGGGTCATGCCATGTCCACTGTCTAGCGGTCATACTACGTCCACCTCACAGGGATCATGCCATGTCCACTGTCTAGTGGTCATACTACGTCCACCTCACAGGCCTCCTGCTATGCCCACAGCCCAGGCGCAGTGTCCACCATCTTGCCTTTCCTGTATCTGGGTGTGTCCTGTTTGCAGTCCCCTCACATAGTCGGTTTCTCCTCTTTGGGACTCGGTGACGGGCTCTTGTACTTTCAGCCATCATATAGAGAACTCCACATTCTCAGGAACACGCATCTGTTGTGTACTGCGGTGGCAGGAAGATCTCCATTGTAGGTTTATGTTGTCATTGACCAGAGGAGAGGTCTGGGAGTGTCCATGGTGGTCAGCCTAGTGTGGGGAGACATGGTAATGTGGCTTGGATGTGATGGTGGAAGAAGCAGACGGCGGCTCCTGTGCCGTAGGGAGTATTCCGCAGAGGAATGGAGGTTATTACCATGTGATGAGGTCATTACTCGAGCTGCGGTTCTGGATTCCTGACTTGCTATGGGCTCCGTATGACAGAACATCTCAGCGTCTTGTCATCAGGCCCGCAATTATCACAGGCAGGAGACGAATGAAGGATTATATTATGTATATGACGCCGAGACCCAGATCACTGTGACACGGGACTGCAGAGAGGCAGAATGGTTCTGTTATCATGATGAAAATTATAGGTGGGGTCTAGAGACGTGGTCTGTCCCATATTGAACAGTGGTCAGAGACGTGGTCTGTCCCATATTGAACAGTGGTCAGAGACGTGGTCTGTCCCATATTGAACAGTGGTCAGAGACGTGGTCTGTATAAACCATATCAGGTTTACTCCTTCCAGCCGGTCATCTGCCCATTGGATATAATGAGTTGCTCCGATGCCTTGAGGTCATTACTCGAGCTGCGGTTCTGGATTCCTGACTTGCTATGGGCTCCGTATGACAGAACATCTCAGCGTCTTGTCATCAGGCCCGCAATTATCACAGGCAGGAGACGAATGAAGGATTATATTATGTATATGACGCCGAGACCCAGATCACTGTGACACGGGACTGCAGAGAGGCAGAATGGTTCTGTTATCATGATGAAAATTATAGGTGGGGTCTAGAGACGTGGTCTGTCCCATATTGAACAGTGGTCAGAGACGTGGTCTGTCCCATATTGAACAGTGGTCAGAGACGTGGTCTGTCCCATATTGAACAGTGGTCAGAGACGTGGTCTGTCCCATATTGAACAGTGGTCAGAGACGTGGTCTGTATAAACCATATCAGGTTTACTCCTTCCAGCCGGTCATCTGCCCATTGGATATAATGAGTTGCTCCGATGCCTGAATCACAGAATTATCACAGCGGAGGTACCGGCCCATCTCTTCTGCCAGTATGGAGGTGCGTAGAGTGTGGGGTCGGAGATATTTCATGTATCTCATCACAAATCTTCATATGTTGCCTTATCTCCTTAGATAGAACAGCTTAGGTGAGGGTGGAGTTGGCCGGTGTCACGTTGTGTCAGGCAGGTTGGTGAGTGTGGAGTTGGCCTGTGTCACGTTGTATCAGGCAGGTTGGTGAGGGAGTTGGCCGGTGTCATGTTGTATCAGGCAGGTTGGTGAGGGTGGAGGTGGCCGGTGTCACGTTGTATCAGGCAGGTTGGTGAGGGTGGAGGTGGCCGGTGTCACGTTGTATCAGGCAGGTTGGTGAGGGTGGAGTTGGCCGGTGTCACGTTGTGTCAGGCGGTGGTGTGGTCTGCATCGTGTTATATAATAATGGTTTTGGCCTTCATGGCGCAGTGCAGAAGAGAAGAATCCTGAGAATGTTGGATCCTATTAATGGGATTTCTGATGGTCTCTGTATGGTTGCGGGATATTTCTGATGGTCTCTGTATGGTTGCGGGATATTTCGAATGGTCTCTGTATGGTTGCGGGATATTTCGGATGGTCTCTGTGTGGTTGCGGGATATTTCGGATGGTCTCTGTATGGTTGCGGGATATTTCGGATGGTCTCTGTGTGGTTGCGGGATATTTCGGATGGTCTCTGTATGGTTGCGGGATATTTCGGATGGTCTCTGGTTGCGGGATATTTCGGATGGAGGGGTTTATAATGTGACAACCTTCCGAATGAAGAGTTCCTGTGGACGGGCGATGGAGATGGCAGCCATGTGGAGTTAAGGAGACATCCCAAATGTTCTCTCCCGGAGGATGGAAATACATAGTACCTGCACCTGATGTACTGACTGTATGAATGGCCCGCCTTGTATATAGGAGAGACAGTATATGCCTGAAGACCCGGCCTGCTATGCCCTTCAGGACCTTCTGCCCTCAGTGGGATGCGGATTGGACCTCACAGTGTGAAACAGAAGAATACTATCAATGTATACCTCAAACATATGCTATACCTCGGACATATGCTATACCTCGGACACATGATATACCTCGGACATATGATATACCTCGGACATATGATATACCTCGGACATATGATATACCTCAATACACATACAATGTGCCATACACTTCAATAAACACAAATCCCTCCAAATATATAAATCCAAAACTATATTCCTCACTAACAAATAGTGCCGTATACACCTCAATACATTATTTACCTGCTGTATACTTCAACATACATTGTATAATATACACACACACACTGTATGGCTACAAATGTTTGCAGACCCCCTGACCATCAGACCTATATGAGCTTGTTGGACATTCCATCCATGCGCCATGGCAATTAATTTGGCACTTTCCTGTGGACGGGCGATGGAGATGGCAGCCATGTGGAGTTAAGGAGACATCCCAAATGTTCTCTCCCGGAGGATGGAAATACATAGTACCTGCACCTGATGTACTGACTGTATGAATGGCCCGCCTTGTATATAGGAGAGACAGTATATGCCTGAAGACCCGGCCTGCTATGCCCTTCAGGACCTTCTGCCCTCAGTGGGATGCGGATTGGACCTCACAGTGTGAAACAGAAGAATACTATCAATGTATACCTCAAACATATGCTATACCTCGGACATATGCTATACCTCGGACACATGATATACCTCGGACATATGATATACCTCGGACATATGATATACCTCGGACATATGATATACCTCGGACATATGATATACCTCGGACATATGATATACCTCGGACATATGATATACCTCAATACACATACAATGTGCCATACACTTCAATAAACACAAATCCCTCCAAATATATAAATCCAAAACTATATTCCTCACTAACAAATAGTGCCGTATACACCTCAATACATTATTTACCTGCTGTATACTTCAACATACATTGTATAATATACACACACACACTGTATGGCTACAAATGTTTGCAGACCCCCTGACCATCAGACCTATATGAGCTTGTTGGACATTCCATCCATGCGCCATGGCAATTAATTTGGCACCCCCC